AGAAACAGTTACTCACAGTATTTAAAGTGCCACACACACACACACACTCAGAAACACATGTACACACAAACACACAGTAAAGATTGGTTACGCTTTAGATTAGGAACACTATTCACTATTAACTAGTTGCTTATTAGCATACATATTACTAGCATATTGGCTGATTATTAGTATTTATAGCATTTAAAGAGTATTTATGATTCATGCCTTATGCTGCATGACCATATTCTAGATCCATTAACCCTACCCAGTACCGAAACATAAGCAATCTTACTATCAATAAGCAGCAAATTAGGAGTTTATTGAGGGAAAATTCTGTGAATATGTTCCCTAATCAAAAGTGTCATGTTACATGAAAGTCATGTTGCCATTTTGTGATGTGCACCATAACATGAACGTTATAATATAGTGATTCAAGTTCTAATAAATACAGACTTCATTTGAATGGTTAATTATGCACATAAAAGTTAAGATTTTACAAATGTGTGTAGAATACTATGGCTTGTTTGTTAATTATTTAAAGCTTTAGGTGTAAAAAAATAAATAAATAAATGCAAAAGATTTAAAGGCAAAAGATCTAATAATAAAGATACTAGACATTATCTAGAATATAATTACATACCAAGAACATGTGTTTTAAACACATCAATCCTGACAAAAACACATCAATCCTGACAAAAATGTAAATACGGCCCACCACTGTTTTCAACCTTTTATACTGTATTGAACAATAAAAAATCCAATTCATTGTAGTAAAAAATAATCTTTGTGACAAAGTGAACTACCTAAAACATAATGCTTAGCAGTGCCCTATATTTTGTTTGCAACCCATGTTTTCCCCTGTAACAAAAAAAAAAATATATATATATATAAAAAAATTCTTAGAATGGTGAAACTCAAATAGGCTACTGTAACTCATCAGAGGTTGACTGAGGTCAACACCTTCTTTCACTGAGCATTTGCTGGAAAAGACAAGAAACATACAATAAAAAATCCAATTCATTGTAGTAAAAAATAATCTTTGTGACAAAGTGAACTACCTAAAACATAATGCTTAGCAGTGCCCTATATTTTGTTTGCAACCCATGTTTTCCCCTGTAACAAAAAAAAAAATATATATATATATATAAAAATTCTTAGAATGGTGAAACTCAAATAGGCTACTGTAACTCATCAGAGGTTGTAACTCATCACTGTAACTCAACACCTTCTTTCACTGAGCATTTGCTGGAAAAGACAAGAAACAGAATTCTATTCGTTACTTTAGTAAACACAACATGGTTAAAGGGTAGGATATGGTTCCTTTAAGAAGAAATAATCAAAATCTCCGTTCCTGGTCATGTGGTGTAACGCCCGCTGCTGGTGAACAAGTGAAGGACAAACGTCCATCATATAACACATGTGTACCCCTCATTCAACCGCAAGAGGGCGCCTTGGACTATTTAGAATGCGACTGTATTGAAATGGCTCTGGTACCAGCATCACTCACCAGCCCCACTCTGTTTTCTCAGTTTGAATTGGTCGAGATTTTAATCTTTGCATATGTGATGGTATCATTTTTTTATTTTGCTGTTTTTCCTGAATAATTTGATTTAGACAAATATTATGTTGACGCCGTATGCTTACCTGTTCATACATAAACACGCACGCTTATCTCCCGCACCAGACCTCGCCATAAAGACAGTAAAACAAACAGCTCCTCTCAAAAGGGAATCCCACAGGGACAAACGCGGGCCTGTCTCTCTCTTTGACTGAACAGAAAGCATGAATGAATGAGTGTGGGAGAGAGGGGATGAGTGAGGGGTGTTGGTTGGGGAAAGCCTGTTGAAAACCCCAGAGCACTGTGGGTAGAAGCTGTGTGATCAATCACTGAAGGGTGTACTGTAATGTCAGGTTGCCAGGCAACAGGAAGAAAAGCAAAAGGGAATCCCACAGGGACAAACGCGGGCCTGTCTCTCTCTTTGACTGAACAGAAAGCATGAATGAATGAGTGTGGGAGAGAGGGGATGAGTGAGGGGTGTTGGTTGGGGAAAGCCTGCTGAAAACCCCAGAGCAATGTGGGTAGAAGCTGTGTGATCAATCACTGAAGGGTGTACTGTGATGTCAGGTTGCCAGGCAACAGGAAGAAAAGCACTCCAGCAGGGTCACTCCTGATTACTGAGTGTTTCTCATGCACACACACACAGAGACAGTTTTGGGTCTGTTGAAACGAGAGTCTAGCAGCAGTACTAGAAGGATTATTGCAGCAGTTAATCTCACCGAGGAGACTAAATTTAGGCCTTCTCCTGTTTGGGCAACTCTTACCTCTCTCCCACCTCACCTCCTTCCACTTTTCTTCTCCCTTTTCCAGCAGAGAACTGTTTGTGATGTCCAGAGGCGTAAATGTTCAAAAGATTAAGGTTATATTGAACGATAGCTATTTGTTATATTTGTATTATTTATTAATTATTGAATGACACAGATATACCAATACAGACCGAAGACAAATGCTGCATATTTGACAAAAACATTTCCAAAATAAACGTCCTTTTCAGTTACTGGCTTCCCAAAATGTGCTTTATTTTGGAAAACTACAGTGAATGTCTGCAAACTCTGCTCCGCTTCAGAGGAAATCAATTCATATTGCACATCCAAAACAAAAGGTAGCACACGTTTGCAAATCATAAACATTTTCAAGTAACCCAACAAAAAAAAGTATGCATTTCTCTGCTGCGATTCTCTCTCGAAATGATTTGCGATGTGTGTAATAACTAATAGGCTATGATAAGTTTAACTTTGGTACAAAAAATATGATATTTATTCTTTTGGCTTTTAAAATAACGTCACCATGTAGTTGGTTAATATAGTGCATGCAGTTTACTACCACACTACGAATGAAATATGACGACCACTGATTGCTTCATAAATTTTTATGTACATTTAAAACCAGGGCCTGGCCTTCACATGTAGCACTGTGCAAAAAGAAATGTAAACAAAATAAGTTAATTCAAAATAAAAAAACAAAACCCATAACATGAGCTTGAAACTACTATTTACAATATAAACAAAAAAGAGAATGAGAATAAAGCACATCGATGGTGGCCCCAGTACAGTCAAAACACACACACATATAGATCTCTCTCACATAAATAAGCTCTCATATTCTTTTTCTCTTTCACACTCACACCTCTCACACATGCATCCAAATGACAGTTTAAATGGCGTGTAAAAGTGCTCCTCTACAGAGTTGAGTACAGAGGTGAGATACAGCGTGCCATTATATATACATACAAAATCACCACCATTAGTTCAACAGAAGACCTCATGTCATAATCGCATTATTCAGCTGAACTCAGGGTGTTGCCGTTACTCGGCGACAGACGTAGAACTTCAAAACGAGGAAAAATGTTTTTCAGTCAGAGATCCACTGACCTGCACCTATGCACGGAATGGTTTAGATTTGGAAGATATATACTGTATATATCTGATATATATATATATATATTATATATACGCATGTTTTTTTCCCCCTTTCTTTCTTTTTGTTCAAAAACGTGTGGTTGTCTGGTACAAAGACATTCAGTAGGGTTACATTGCCGTTTCCTATCACGTTCACCAGTGAGTGTACATTCAGGCTTCCCGAAGTCTGTTATCGTTATGGTAGTTTCACGGAGGGGTGGACATCTGTCTCGTCTCGTATGTGCCTCGATGTGGTGTAGAATGTTTAGGGTTCAACGAACAGCTTTTGTTGCATAATAATGATTACCACTGGAAATAATTGCAATTTGCACCTTAAATAAGCTAAAATGAAGGTTCGAATGAGGCACTTACAAACGAAGTAAACTGTGCCAGCATCTGGAGGGTTTACAGGCCAAGATGCACAGCTTATATTTTTTTGATAAAACACTTACATTTAATCTTCTGTAAAAGGAAAAGAAAATGATGAGCTGTTGCCTAAATTGACATATTTGCACTATGTTTTCAGTATTATTCATGAGGTTGTTGCCATTCCAGAACCGTGTTGTTATGCACCTGGTGTCAGGTAAAGACATAGACAACAACTTCTGATTAGACCGCTTATGTCTGTTGATATAATGAACATAAGTAAAAGTTTATCTATGTGAAGAAAAAAAAACATTCAAAATATAGGATGTGGCCCCTTTAAGATATACATAAATAAAAACTCTAGTCATGTGGTACAACGCCCAAGGAAATCGCATCACCACCTCTCTTCTTGGTGTCTTTGTGCAGATATTGTGCGAAAGTTATTGGGTTTACAGGCTTTAACAGGCATTGTCATGACAACAGAGTTGAAAGATAAAAGACAAGATTAGATAAGTGATTATATCACACTATTCTTCTCATGTTAACAGGGATAATCTATAATATATAATATAATGTTAAAGATTTGTGGTTCTACTATACACGTGGCTGTAAACAGTGTTTTACTTCGTTTATAAGTGCCTTATAGTAACACAAAAATGTTGTCAATTGAGGTGAACATCCATTGAACCCAGAACATTCATCAACGGGTTTGAGTCAAAATACACTGAGTTTGGCTCACTCTGCTATCAACAGTGGAAGATGTCAAATGGTTCAATTAATCAATTTTCGTGTTTGTGTTCAGTAAGGCAGTGCAGACATGGTCTACATCTTCATCCATAAATAATTAAAAAAACATTCTATGTGTGAAAGTCCTGATTAGTACAGTAGCATTCTGCTCTCAGCTTACTGAGCAATTGATTTTGTAGCACTTAGAACCTACCGGTGTGTGTGTGTGTGTGTGTGGTTTGTTCGGTATACGCTAATGCTAAAGTAAATGAGGTCCCGTTCAGATAATTCACTACCGGATATGATCGACATTCCCTAGCCCCTTCCACAGACGTGCCCTTAAATGAAGTAGTTCAGACAATCAAACCCATGAGTAGAAAAGTTCAACATGAATAAAAAAATTAGATAACAAAAATGTGCAGGTATATAATACGCCATTCAATAAGAACACCTCTCTTCTTGGTGTCTGTGCAGATATTGTGCAAAAGGCTTTAACAGGCGTTGTCACGACAACAGAGTTGAAAGATAACAGACAAGATTAGATAAGTGATTATATTAACACTATTAACACAAATAATCTATAATATATAATCTATAATATAACATATAATGTTACAGTTTTGTGGTTCTGTTACACATGTGGCTGTAAACAGTGTGAATTTTCAGGTTTATTTGCTTGGCCTCTTTTACTTCCATTATAAGTGCCTTATAGTAACAAAAATTTTGTCAATTGAGGTTAACATACACTGAACCCAGAACATTCATCAACGGGTTTGAGTCAAAATACACTGAGTTTGGCTCACTCTGCTATCAACAGTGGAAGATGTCAAATGGTTCAATTAATCAATTTTCGTGTTTGTGTTCAGTAAGGCAGTGCAGACATGGTCTACATCTTCATCCATAAATAATTAAAAAAACATTCTATGTGTGAAAGTCCTGATTAGTACAGTAGCATTCTGCTCTCAGCTTACTGAGCAATTGATTTTGTAGCACTTAGAACCTACCGGTGTGTGTGTGTGTGTGTGTGGTTTGTTCGGTATACGCTAATGCTAAAGTAAATGAGGTCCCGTTCAGATAATTCACTACCGGATATGATCGACATTCCCTAGCCCCTTCCACAGACGTGCCCTTAAATTAAGTAGTTCAGACAATCAAACCCAGGAGTAGAAAAGTTCAACATGAATAAAAAAATTAGATAACAAAAATGTGCAGGTATATAATACGCCATTCAATAAGAAAGACACCAGCGGTAGTGTTAGCACTAGCTACTGATGACTATAACATTAGTTTCTTTCAGTCCTCGGGATTGTGTAACAACACTCAAAACTAAAAGACAAACTCACACACCACTCTATACTTGCCATTTTGTTTCACACCAGCGTCCTTAGGGATTCAACAATCATACTCAAGCGTGTGTGTGTGTGTGTGTGTTCGTCGTGTCGACACTGGCACTGTCCTCGAATCAACGCTTTCCGTCAACACCATAAATGCACCCTAAGGCTAGCTCGGTGCGCACGCACACAATAGTCTAGACACACGCACATACACACACTCCGCCTCACACACACTCAGTTTGGCATTAGTTCCAAAACCGCTTGAGGTGAATTGCACCCCGGTGCTTGCGCTCCGCTCTGTAAACAGTGTCTCAGTTGAAAAGAACAGTCTCTGTTTCAGTCCCTCGTTCATTTTTTTCTGTCTCTTGCATCTTTTGCTTTGTCCTCCTTTTCTCTCCTCTCCTTTTCGTATTTGTCTTTCTCTGACTTGGCCACGCTGTTATAAGACGGCGGAGAGGCAGAGGAGGGAGTCATATCTGTTTTGTCCGACGCAGAGTTCTCTTGAAACTTTCCAATGACGAGCACCTCTTTCTCCGCGATGCGCACACTCCCATCTTGCAGCTGCTGTCGGTAGGCTTCGGAGGCCTTCTTTACCGTTTGCCTTATACGGTACCGTCGGAAGGCCCTCTGGATGACGACGGCCGACATCTCCTCCTGTTTCCTGCGGAGGGTTGTCGTGATTGGCTCGTAGGAGACTTTGGAGGGATTGGAGGCCATGAAACGATCCTCCATCTGTCCCCTCAGGGCATCCATCTCGCCCTCCTCTCCCAGTACCCTCAGGGTAAAGGCGAACAGGATGTCCAGGCAGTGGATGCGGTCGCCACTGACCATGGGCAGGTCCATGGCTATGAGCTGGGTCTTGTTTGGCTTGGGGATACGTAACGGAGGATCCAGAGCATCCGCAAAGTTAGAAAGCTTGTCGTACTCCACGAACTGTGTGGCGTTGGGATCAAATCGCTCCCAGACTTCGTAGAACATTTCAAAGTCGTCCTCGCTCAGTGGTTCAGCGCTCTCCTCTGTGGCTACGCTGAAGTTCTCCAAGATCACGGCAATGTACATGTTCACCACAATCAGGAAGCAGATGATAATGTAGCTCACGAAGAAGAAGATGCCGACCGAGGGGTTTCCGCAGTTGCCACGGTACATGCTGCCCGGGTGCTCCAATTCGCTGTCGCAATCCGGATCTTGCTTGTTCAGGATGGGTGCCAGGAGGCCGTCCCATCCTGCTGAAGTCGTAATCTGGAACAAGCAAAGCATCGAGTTCCCGAATGTCTCAAAGTTAAACATGTCGTCGATCCCCGCCTCGTGCTTCACGTAGGCAAAGTTGGACATTCCGAAGATGGCATAGATAAACATGACCAGGAACAGGAGGAGGCCAATATTGAACAAGGCAGGAAGTGACATCATCAAGGCAAACAGTAGTGTACGAATGCCTTTGGCTCCTTTGATGAGTCGAAGAATGCGGCCGATTCTGGCAAGTCGGATGACTCGGAATAATGTTGGCGATACGAAATATTTCTCAATCATCTCAGAGAGGAACATGCCTGACAAAAACCAAAAGTCCAGTAAGTGATCTCAGGAATCAATGAATTTTCCACACTATTTGAACTTAAAGGAATAGTTCACCCTAAAATGAAAATTACCCCATGATATACTCACTCTCAAGCCACCCTAGGTGTATATGACTTTCTTCTTTCAGATGAATACAATCGGGAGTTATATCAAAAAATGTCCTTTATAATTAGCTTTATAATGGCAGTGAATAGGGTTTCAGATTTTGAAGCCCAAAAAATTGCATCCATACATCATAAAAAGTGCTCCACACAGCTCTGGGGGGTGGGGGGTATTAATAAAGCCTCCTCAAGCGAACCAATGTGTTTGTGTAAGAAAAATATCCTTATTTAAAACTTTATAAACCATAATCTCTACAGTAGCTTCTGCCAACTGTCGTACCCACGTTCACGTGAGAATGGTGTCCAGGGGATGATGTAAGATGTAGGCGAACGTGGAAGTGACGAATGCAGAAGTGCAGAAGAGACAGCAAAATAAAAACACCAGTCACAAATTACAAATACACCACGAGAATTTGTGTGAGAAAAATGTCGGAGGATTTCGATATAAGCGAAGAGGAAACTAGTTTTCCTTTGCTGCAAACAAAACTTGGTCCTTGCGAGACTAACATATTCTTACCGGAGCTTACGCTACGCCTACTTCATCCACTGGAACACCACTTTCTCATAAATGTGCATAAGATACAGCAGTTAGCAGAAGCTAGAAATTACAGTTTATAAAGTTTTAAATAAGGATATTTTTCTTACACAAATGCATCGCTTCGCTTCAGAAGACCTTTATTAACCCTCCGGAGCTGTGTGGAGCAATTTTTATGATGGATGGATGCACTTTTTTGGGCTTGGAAGCCTGGAAGACATTTTTTAATATAACTCTGATTGTATTTGTCTGAAAGAAGAAAGTCATATACACCAAGGATGGCTTGAGGGTGAGTAAATCATGGGGTAATTTTCACTTTTGGGTGAACTATCCCTAAAGGTGATGGTCAAAGCATACTCTACTCAAATATAGTACAGCATTCCCAACATTACAGCAAAAGATCACCATAGCAGACATTAGCCTAAACTGTCTTCTTTGGACACTTTTGTCTTTCAGATCAATTAAGGTGTGGTTACATTGGTGAAATTCTGTGGACAAAAATTCCATTGTCTATGGAATTGTTTATAAGTTATAAAGTTCGAACTAGGAGATATAAACTTGAATTTGCAAGAAAAAAAGTCAGAATTGTGAAATAAAATAGTTAAATGTTATGTAAAATGTTATAGGTTTAAATAGTATTTCATGCATGTATTTCAACTGTAGGGCTAATACAATATGTCCCTTATATGAATATTATATAGACCTATTGTTTAAATCAAATTTATGCTTTATAAGTAGAGTAATCATAGCAGGTTTCATCCATTTTTTCCGTTTAAACGTCTGCGCTGCAAGTGACGTAACTGTGACGTCTACTCCAAATTGGTCTATTGTCAATAGTGTAGCAATGTTTGAAGCGCAGCTCACACTGAAGTCACTTTTAAACCATGCAGCTTTCTGTTGTTTAACACAGCGAATCTGTGTGACTAAATTGAATCCGTTGCAAAATCTGTATGGGGAAAACTTTCGATCTCAAGTGAAATTCCAGATTGCATAGATTCCAACAGAATTTACTGGATTTTGTCAGTGAAAATTAAATGTGATCGCACCTTTTCTGTCAAGAAGGAACATATGTTTCTTGCTTAAATCTTCAAAATGTTATTATAGTTTAATGATAGTAATAGTCTGTAGAACCTCCAAGACTTTCTTACCAACAATTGAGAGAATCACCACAACAAAGTCAAACACATTCCAGCCAATGGTGAAGTAGTAGTGCCGCAGGGAGATCATCTTGAGCACACATTCTCCAGTGAAGAGGATGATGAAAACCAGGTTTATCCAGTACAGAATATCATCCATCTCCTTTGTCTGGTCGTCGGTTTCCACCATCATGGTCACCATGTTCAAGCAGATCAGGATCATAATCACAATGTCGAAGGCTTGTTTGGTGATAAAGTCAAAGATAAGGCCTTGAAACTTGTTCTAGAGTGAAGTACAGAGAAATTGGCATTATTGAAAAATGTTGTATTAAATAGAATGGAAGTTCTTAGCGGTTAGGGGAGCAAGCTGTGTGTCATACCGTAGGCCTGGGAATTGGCTTCTGAGGCTTCTTAGATCCCAGTTTCTTCATGGCATTGTAATATTTCTTTTGTTCTTCTGTCATAAAGATATCCTGACCTCCTAGGTAAAGAGCAAATGCAGAAGGCTGGTTACAACCACGGTTTCATTATATGTCACAACACAAACATAATGCAACCAGGCCTCTGTTTTTCACCTCTGAACTTCAGGAAATGTCAAAGGGACAGTTCAGTCCAAACCAGGTCCTATTTATCTCTCAATACATTACCACTGTGTGCGCTTTACAAACAAAACCAGTTCAATAAGTTACGATTGTGTGCTCACTAAACAAAGCCACAGACTGTGTGCATATCACATTACATCTCTGAAAGTAAACTGAACAAACACACAGTGGTTGATTGAGACTGCACACTGTAATATGCAATATATTCCTTATTATCACTAAATTCACCTTCCTCAGTTTAAATACTTATCTTTTTCTTCTGTTGATTGAAGTTATCAATGATGACACCAATGAAGAGGTTAAGAGTAAAGAAGGAGCCGAAGATAATGAAGATGACGAAGTACAGGTACATGTAAAGGTTTGATTCATAGTCAGGCTGTTGCTCCAACTGCACGGGTACAAGAAAATGTTGTGTGTTATTACACATTTGCATTACTAATGTGCATCACAACTTACTCGTCATAAGCACACTCCTGCTTAAACATAAACAAACTGCTCACAATTGTCTATGTATTGTAAAAATACTTTTTTAGCCATTTGATTAATTTAAATCACAGTTATTATTAAATTATTTACATTTCATTTAAATTCAATTATTAAATCACAATTATTAATTATTCATTTGTTTACTTCAAAACAAGAATACAATAAATTGCCTTTTTGTGTATCTATAATTATTAGTAAATTATTTATAATATACAACTATAATGTTCATTAAGTCATATAATTATGCATAATATTGATTTATATAATTATATAATTAATATATTTATTAAACAATTCTAATGTGAAAGTTATATATTCTTTTTAAAAAATAGTTTTGTAAATAGTCACAGTAAAGGTAAATAAACATTGAAATGCCCAATGAACAAATATACATTGTATGGTGTATTTTCAGTTGGAGTAAACCACAACAAATACAAATCGAAATAACCTAAATAAAATGATCCTCAGTTTAAATATTTTTTGACATTTCTGGATCTCCTCGAATAAAGGTAGACAGTCTAATAGTTCATGATGCTAATCCTCAAATGCCATTTTTAAACTGTGTAGTCATAAATAAATAAAAAAATACAATGATATATTAAAGGCAGGGTATGTGATTTTTCAAAAACACTTTAGAAAACTGATTCGGGCCGAATAGCAAAACAAACTTTTAGCCAATCAGCAATAAGGGGCGTGTCTACTCGTCTCGTGATGTGGAGGAGAGAGCTTTCAGTGCATGGGACGGACATTAGCCGAGCCGAGCGACAGAAAGATAGAGATGGCAGATAAAAAAACAAAAGAGGAAAACGTCTGCAGAACGATAAGGCAAGAAGTAGGACCCGTGTAAATATCGGATCAGCTTTCCAGCGCTGGAGAGAACTCAAGGAGCGGAGAGGCCTGCGATAGGACGCCGAGGTTGCTTTGTTTCTTCTCAATAGGTGAGTAACACCGTGTCTACAACAGCTAAAGTCTGCCTACACTGGACACGATCAAACGACCGTTGAAAACCATTTGAAATTTGTGTCAGCACGTCATAAATAGAACCCGGCAGCAGTTTTCTGTCGGGATTTGTTGCGCCGCGCCACTCACGTCCGTAGACACGGTGTAACATTAGTTTTGCTTTGTTTCACAGAACTAATCGTTGCCTGGGTTGCGTACGTATATGTGGGGCGGAGCTATCAAAATAGGGGCAAGACCCTTTTGGGGTAGGGGCGTGTTTGTTTTGGTGATTTCAAATATCAACATTGGCTACCAGAAATCGCTTACTCTGCCTTTAAGCAGACAGTAACAGAGAATTATGGAAAAGGGTCAAAGGTGGTTTGAATGTAACAATGCAGTATGAATGGTTAAAAAAAACATCTGTTAACTGCACTGAAGAGAAACACTTACATTACGAGAATCCACAGCTGCGTACATGATGTCCATCCATCCTTTAAATGTGGCCTTATGAAAAAGAACTAAATTTCAATTTCAATTAATATATCCTGTGAATATGCTACAAAGAGAAAACCTCTTTCTAAGCAAAACATAAATCATAGTCGGGCTATGTGTTCAGCTCACTCACCACTTGCAGTAGCGCCAGGTATCCAGCTCCCACATTATCGAAATTAATCTTCACATTTTTCCAGCGCGCCGAGTCATTGTTTGCAATCAAGGCAAAGCAATCAGACTTGTTATTGACCACACTGATGGGAAACATCTTATCGCTGGTGATATTAAAACAATGGTAGTATTTTCCCGCAAAAAGGTTCACCCCCATGATGCTGAAGATCAGCCAGAAGATCAAACACACTAGTAGCACGTTCATGATGGAAGGTATGGCTCCCAGCAGGGCATTTACTACAACCTAGAAGAAAAGAAATACATCATGTCACACACAAATACATTAATATATATTCACTGTACACTCTTGCTATGGACACAAGAGCTGCGAAACTGCACTGAACTTTCTGAGCTTCTATAGTGGATGGTTTACTTGCTGGTAAAAACTAACCTTTCCATAGATTTAAGATAATGCAATTCTAGGAAACGACAAGATGATTTTCAGAAGGTTAACAGGGTTTTAAGAATAGCAAAGCTAAGTAAATTTTATCCTACATTAAGATTGATTAGCTAAAAAACAGAGTAGGCCTATTTGAAGAATGGCTAATGTCTCAATCTGCCTAATTTACTCTATAATTAATAGCTAAATATCTTTCATTATTAACCGACTGTAATTCTGTTCATAGAACAGAGGACTTTAACATATAAACATCTTGCAGGGATGTATCACACATATCTTTGAGCTACCAAAATGTGGACAAAACAAAAAATGAAAACCGAAAAAAACCTTGTGGAGACACGATGACGTCACAACATTTGTTTACTGCAAATGAAAAGAGACACATAACAGAGAAAGAAATGTAAGGTCAAGTCACAAACACCACAAAAACCACCACAGAATCATCAGAATAGATCAGAGCTCTCACCATAGCACATGCAGAGAGGCATGCACACTAAAGAGAAAGGTCTAAAAATACAACAGTCTACATACAATATTCATTTATTCATGTGATTAGGATGTTCTCATTAATATTCACCAACAGCATGCAAGAGGACTACAGCTTCCCAACATTTAAACAATTAAACAGTATTTTTGTGTGAGAGTGTGCTGTTTTTCTCAAGTAGGACAAGTTCTAGGATCAACTTCCTTGGTTCTGGGACAGCACTGGGATGAACTGATCAGATTTTAGGGTTAGGGCTGATGTTAAAGAAATAGTTCACCCAAAAATAAAAACTTGTTGAAAATGTATTCACCCACAGGCCATCCAAGATGTAGATGAGATCAGAAATTTTGCATTACACAACTTGCTCATCAATGGATCCTCTGCAGTGAATGGGTGCCGTCAGCATGAGAGTCCAAACAGATGATAAAAACATCACAATAATCCACAAGAAATCCACACACCTCCAGTCCATCAATTAACATCTTGTGAAGTGAAAAGCTGCATGTTTGTAATAAACAAATCCATCATTAAGGCATTTAAACCTTAAACCTTGCTTTTGCCCAATGTATCGATAATCTATAATAATGCTTCCTCCAATGAAAAAGTTCATCCCCTGTTGTTCTCTTACATCAAAATCCACAGAAATATTTGGTTAGAACTGTTTTGGACTGTTTTTGCTTGTAAATGGCGCTTGATCTACGCATATTCCTCTCTTGATTCAGATGAGATTACTTTTTCACTGGAGAAAGCATAATAGATAGAAGACTAGTATTTTAGCTGGAAGGAATGGTTTGAAGTTAAAAATGTGTTAATGATGATTTTTTTTTTTTTTACAAACACGCAGCTTTTTTGCTTCACAAGACTAACACTTATAACACTTAATTGATGGACTGGAGTCATGTGAATTACTTGTGGATTATTGTGATGTTTTTATCAGCTGTTCGGACTCTCATTCTGACGGCACCCATTCATTGGTGAGCATGTGATGTAATGCTACATTGCTCCAAATCGGTTCCAAAGAAAAAACAAACACATCTACATCTTGGATGGCCCCAGAGAGAGTAAATCTTTAGCAAATTTTCATTTTTTACCAATTACATATGGATTTGCAACCACTGAAGCATAACTGTCATGTGAATTGTTAAATCACTAACCTTACCAGCCAGTAGATACTCTGTAATGTTAAGGTTTGGTTAGAAATAAGGTTAGGCATCCAGGAGCATGTCCTACTTGGTTAAATCACGCCACGTGTGTGTGTGTGTGTGTGTCTTACCCTCATTCCCTCAAAGCGTGATAATGCTCTCAAAGGTCTAAGAGCACGCAGTGTTCTCAGGGACTTAATGGCAGTTAGTTCAGAGTAACCAAGAGCATTTGCTACCAGACTCACTAACGACACCTGTAAAATAAAAACATGCAGCCAATCATGAAGGGACTGTGTTTAGACCCAGAGAATACACACTATCCACTTACACACACACACTGTACAGCAGTATATAAGGTCCATACATACATCAACAATCAGGAAGTCAAGCCAACACCAGGCATTGGTGAAGTATTTGACGAAGCCATAAGCAACCCACTTCAGAAGCATCTCCAAAATAAAGATGTATGTGAAGACTTTATCTGCATATTCCAACACTGTCTTTATCGTCTTACGTTGCTCGATGTAAATGTCCTCAAAAGCCTGAACACAGATGCACATCAACAAATTTACTTGTTGATTGTTTGTCTAATAAAAAATGATTGAGTGGGTGAGTATATTGTGTTTGTGTGTGGGTTCTCACCAATGCTCCACTGCTGAGTAATATCATAAAGATGATAAAGGATTCAAACCAGTTGTGCTCTACAATGATGAAGCAGGTTTTCCTGAGAATCCACCAATTCTTCCCTTTTCCCTTCTCCACATCGACCTGACAGCACTGAAACCTCATCACACAGCCTGAGCAAAAGACACAGAGAAAAGTAACAATGTTAGTGGACAGCAGAACAATTGAGCTCAGTGAAAAAGTCAACACTCCTAAAATGTACCAAAAATTCAATACTAAAAGTCTCGGTTTGGGACTATATATGACATAAAGGGGTCAAACTAGCTTTAGCTGTAGCATTTTTTCATGCTTTCATTCAGATCCATGTCTTCAACCCTTAAACAGGCTGTTTTGTTACTGTACTTTATGTACCCTTTAAGACTTTTAATATTGTTTAATTGGTGAACAGTCATGCTGCATCTTTTTATTTTTTCATTATTTGTTATTAGGATTCTTTGATAAATATAAAGTTCAAAAGAACAGCATTTATTTTAAACAGGCATTTTTGTAACAATTGAACTATCTTCACTGTCACTTTTGATCAATTGAATGCATCTTTGATGAATAAAATATCTAATTATTTAAAACAGTCAACTTATTTCAAATAAGTATATTAGTTTTTGAGTATATTAGTCTTTACATACTGTAGTACATTTAAATCTTTTTCAGAAGAACATCAAATAAATCTGGTTTCCCAAGCTGTGCTCCCCTTAAAGTTCAAAGCAGTATTCACAACTCATTTAGCTTCTGTAACATTGTATTTGAGGGTGAAAGCTGGGACTATTTAGAAATTGATCCTAATAAACGGCCATTCTATAACCACAATGGATTCAAGAAGAGTTTTCAGCTGATTGTAGAGCATTAGGGCCCTCTTGACCTCAATTCACCCATAAGACCATCTTGACATATGACAACAGTAATGCTCAAATCTACTGCTATAATTGCTGTTTTCTCTAATTAACATTAACTGGCATGGAATCGGTGCGTTAACTATGGCAATAATTTAGAAAGGCTGTATTACCTACAACAATAGGCGTTCCCAGATGAACGTTATAATAAACCCAAACTCACAACAACATGCAGAGATGGAGTTTGAGACGCTCCACAAATGTGAATGATATCAGTTCCTGTGGAACTACTGTAAAGGGAGCCGCTGTGTGACGCACGTACTTAATCTACACGTATGTAAATAATTAAAGCGCATATACTGTATTAGAACTGCATCGCATAATTATTTAATTAAATCGTAGCGTTTGTGAATTCACAATTATGCTTAATTATGATTTTTAAACGGGTTTAATATATCATGCAGCCTTGGAAAACAGACTAATAATGTGTTTTATACATTCTCGTCTGTGAAATGCACCCCGGTATTTT